TCTGTGCTCACCAAAGCCCAACCTGCCCAGAAGAACTGTATTATATTATATAATCAGAAGACAGAGAGAGATAAACACACAAGTTCACGCGGTGACGTGTGTTTTAATCCAACAGGTTGCATTAGTCTCTGGTGGAGTGTCAATAATCTCAACAACACTAACATGTAGAGCTGCATCATGCAGGATGTTTTGATCAGACTCATCTCAAACGTTGCAGCAGCACATCTGACTTCAGAGTTAAAGACTTCTGGGAACTGTGTGTGGATCAATTCTTTATATGATCACACACTAACGTCTGTAAACACTGTGAGGGATCAATCCTCCAGACTTACTGAGGAGTGTCCACAGAGGAGTTACAGCAACACACACACTCTCTCACACAAACACACACACACTCTCTCTCACAAACACACACACACTGGAGACTGTATATTTTCTCCTCAACCCTCGCAGTAAACACTGATTTATGAGTCAGAATCTCAAAAATGATAAATAATCTACTGGTTTTGCTATATTTGTGGGGACATTTGGTACACAAGGTACTGTACGCACACACACAGATGCAGAAACGTGACTCACGTGGCAGGATCCTGTCTTTTAAGGGACACTCAGTTTTTCGTTTGACATCAGTTCCAGTAAACCACAGCTGTAAACAGAATAATGCTGATGTCATGTGTTTCTAAGACACACACACACACACACTCAGAGTGAAGTGATGCAGACCTGAACACACACACACGGCACCAGGTGAGGGAAGCTCAGGTTCAGCGTTGGACGCTCCTGTGGATCAACCTGAAACACAAACACAGGCAGATATCTCTCAGAACAATATTCACTCATCAATTCCTCATCAAATACATCAACACAGCATGAGAGAGAGCGTAGCGGACCATCATAAAGCACTAACACCGGACACTCTGGGCTTTCAGGTTTAGACATTACACGATAGACTGCTTAATATAAAAATTACAATTAACAATTAACCCCTGCTGCTGCTTTTATTCCTCTTAATGCAACTATGTGAGCCGATCTGAACAGCTGCATTGGCTAATGTTAGCCGAGCTTAATAAAGATCATACGCATATGTGTATGCAGAGTGAAAGTGTACAGTAGTTTCTCCTTAAACGTGCCCAAACCACTAAACATTCTCATTAACCTTTAACCTTTCAAATGACCCATATGACAAAACCTTTCACTAACCTTAACCTTCACAACAACCCAAACCTCTACAGCATTCAGCGACCTTAAAATGAGCCAGACCACCGCTGAAGCAGCCGGCAATGTTCACTGTGTTTCCCCTCAGCAGCAGTGAAGGTGTTGTTGGTGACTCTTTACTTGAAGGGGTGTTCGTAAGACTGTCATGAGCCCTTTATAATCATGACATATTCATAATGCCTCACGATGATCATGTTTATGACAGATTTATGATCGTTTTTTGTCTTGGTAACGGCAGGTTACAACTGAGTGAATAACAGCTAATAAGAGTAGCTATAAACATGCGTAAAATAAATTCACATGCATGACATGATTATGACGGGTTCGTGACAGTCTTATGAACACATCTTCAAGTAGCGTGTTACCGTGTTCTGCAGTGGTTCTAACAGTGGTTAATCTCAGCTAGTGTACAGTGGTTCTGAAGCTCAGGTGTGTGTGTGCGCGTGTGTGTGTGTGTGTGTGTTGTTTACCTGGCCGTGGTGTTTTATCTCGACACACTCAGCAGAGGAGTGTTT